CCTTATTTATTTGGATTGGTAGCATTAGTGGGCCACTCACAGTGTTAATGATGGAAAACTGGCACTTTCTGGCACCACTTCTTAGGACCGACCAACTATCGATTGAGAACACATTCAACAATGAATGATGGAATTGATTGAAATTATTTGATATTGGTCATGGTTAGATTTATTAAGAGGAATGGGTGATCATTTCACCCTCATATCTCACACAGTTTCAACAGTCTAGAGACAGTTCTGTAATATGAGCAGTTTGACTTACTTTTTCATTATCTACTCACGACTTTGCAGATGACGTTTATTTGAAATGGAGATTTTATATCCAATGTTTGTCATAAGTGAGCGCCTGTTCTCTGGTAACGCTCATTATTAGTGAGTCCTCCTCAAACAGTTCAACAGTGTACAGTGTTCTGGACGTCGTGTGCAGAACTCTTAACTGATCTTACTTTTAATTTAATCCACACAATGTCTGAATATCTTTTTCATCCACAGATTCAAACACACAAAGTAAAAATCAGAAAAAGTTTTACAAAAAAACTCTTTATTTTTTTGCAGCACATTTCCCTTCAGAGACGTCAAGTAACAGTCCCGGTCCTCTCCCCACTACTAACCAAAATATTATTCATAAAATACTATTCAAAGTGCCTTTACATGGGGAGACAGGACTGGGATCATGGAACTTGCAAGCGTGGGTGTGCTCCTGATATGAAATGATGACAAAGATAAAATAAACCCTGGCAGGCACTTCTGTCACTTGAGGTAAGTCCAACACAGATGAAACAAACAGAATCGTACACTGGTCGTCAAAGGCAGGTCAGTGAGGTGGGGGCTCGACACACGGTGCAGGGCCCAGGCCTTTGGCTCTGTGTGGATCACTGATGGAGGACGCTGTCGGGTTTGGGATAACCAAACAGCTTAAAGTCCGGTTCATACAGCTTGTACAGCTCTCTCCTCATCGTTACGGGAATCTGTGCAAACCAGTCTCGTTCCCAGCTGGTGGCGGTTCGGTTTCGGGCCCCTGAGGGGAAGCGGAGCAGATGATCCACCTTCAGGAGCTTCAGCAGGTGATCGGCGTCAGGCTCCAGGGTTTCCAGTCGCCCGATGAAGTCGTACTTGACCTGGCACGGATGACACAGACGGTACACCTGAAACACACAAAGACGCAGGCACTTTTTAAACGGTTCTAAATTTGCTTTTGACTTTTTCTGCCATGTTTGCAAATTTAACTCATTGTACAGATTATTAAAACTCTATGAAGCAGATTTATGAATATGGGCAACGCAGATAATATTTGATTTGATATTACTGCACCTCACTGTGTGTATGTGCCCCCTCTAGATTAGCAATGATATGATTTATTTAATATCTTCTTTTATGTATACAGTTAAATCCAAGTTTATAAGACAATTACACGACTCTGTATGTGGATTCACAAATATTATTCTACGCATCATTTACTATATATAAAGTTATTGTAGTTATGAATCAGTGATTCTGAGAAAATGCACAAAAAAATTAGAACAGAATAAAAAGAAACAGGAGTAGAAAATAAAAAAACATGTGAGTGAATAAAACAAATTCACTGAAAAGTTTAATGGCAGTAAAATGTAATCATAGATAAGTTTAAAGATGTAGTGAAGAATCCCAACATGCAGATTAAAATTCCTTCTTATGCACTGATAAGTACAACAGTCATAAAACAACACATACAAACAGATGATCTGCCTCCACGAGGGAAAAAAGGAAAAGTTGTTGTCATAGCTACAAAAACAGCTGAAGAGTCAATCTGTGAAATAGATCAATAGAAGTGAACTTCCTGTCCAACATTCAAAATGTTGGCAGCTCAAAAGAGGCTTTTCTCACTGGGACAAAAATTCAGTAAATCAGTAAATAAAGTGGGTCACAAACAAAGTGGAAATGATAGGAAGATGTTTTTGTCGGCATATTGTATTCAATAAAATCTAACTATCACAAAAATGCAGCTGTAGTTGTGAGTGTAGTGTGATGCTGCACCTGCGTGAGACAAATACCTGTCGCCAGTGTTCGTTGAAGACGCTCTCCTGCTCAGTGTCTGGATCCAGCAGGTACGTGACAAACTGCTGAAATGTCGGTTTGATTCCTGCGGCAAACGCCTCGGCCACGGTCTCTGGCAGACTCCCGGAGACGTTACCATAACGACGCAGCATGACCGAACCAAACTGCTTGTAGAAATCCTGGTTGGGCCTTAAAAACACACACAAATACACACACTGTGATGAATATACCACGTACCTCTGTGTACCTCTGTGGAATGTGTACACACACACTCACACACACACACACACTCACACACACACTCTCTACTGTGAAACACACCTTCCAAACTTGTTCCTGAAGGCAGAGATGAGACGTACAAAAGGGTCTCGTACAAACAGGAACTTGGTGTAGTGCTGGAGCTTTAGCGCCATCAGGTGGCGGGACAGAGAACCATAATGACGCCAAAACCTGGTCAAAGGAAAAAAACCAAAACACCAAGGAGGATATTTTTTTAATGCTTTAAACCAAACCTTCAAATTCCTGAGTTTCCTGGATCGATAACAAAAGCAAACCCAGTACAGGGTCAGTTCTCTCGGGGGGGGGGGAATATTTGTCAGGTACAATGGTGCAGAGAGAAAAACACATGTTCAGATACTGGGCTCCTGAGAGGTAGAGAAAGGTCCGTCTGTGCTGCAGCGCCAAGCTCCGCCTGTCGTTTCCACTCTCCTCTTCCTTGTGTCAACTCAGTGAATAACTCCTTCAGCTCATGGACAGTTCGTCAAACACAGTTCCAGTGTAACTCGGTGTCTAAGTGCTGCTGTGGAACTGACGAAGAAGAAAACCATCTCCTCTTGAGTTAATTGTGCAGGTCGGGGTCATCATCTTTACCTTTGATTGCTTGTGCAGCTTTTAAGTGTTCATAAGGGTCAATCTGGATATTTTTTTATTGTCAGAAGTTTTTAAATCCTTCTGTACCCGAATATTTAGATCAGCTTAATAGTTAATATCAAGGACTGTATATAAAGTTGGACGACGCCTCTCCACTTCCTCCCACTGACAATAATGAAGCCAAAATATAAATACTAATATGTTCGTTTGGTCCATGTCCCATCTGCTAACATGAAGGAGGCGGGGTGTATGACCTGTAACACAGCCTGCCACCAGGGGGCGATCGAAATGCTTTGGCTTCACTTATGGTAGCTGTCATGTTGTCCATCTTTATTTACAGTTTATGGTTAATATCTTGTTTATATAAAAAAAGACATATAATCTTTATCTTAAGTACATTTTAATGTTCATGTGTGTACTTTTACTGCAGTAATATTTGGAAAGGAGAACATTTACTTGTAATAGAGTCTCAAGGAAATGAGTGTGTGTCTGTGTGTGAGTATGTGTCTAAGTTTAGGTTTAAGTTTATTTTGGCAAGTAGTAACAATTGACTAAGATCAGAGTAAGTCTCCAGAAAATCAGTGTAAGTCAATATAATGTCCTCTGAAGTCATGGAGACACAACTGTGTGTGTGTGTGTGTGTGTGTGTGTCATACTTGGCGAAGGTGAGGTGAAGAGTGGAGTTGTGGACGAGGTCCGGAGGAACAGCCTCTGGGTCGGTGTACGGTTTTCCTGAGGAGGGCGAGATCAGAGACTGAGACAGAACCACCATGACTCTCTTCCAGTTGGTGCACGCCACCTGAACGGAGAGGAACAGCGACGGAGGGAAAGAAGGAGAAAAGACAAGAAGGTTCAGAAAGACAAGAGACACCGTGAACGTGTGTGTGTGTGTGTGTGTGTGTGTTCTCAGCCGTACCTTGGGGACGTAGCAGTAGATAATCTGGTGAGTGTCGTCCACTATCAGGTGATCCAGCTCCCTGTTGGGGATCTGCTCAAATGGTCGAGTCCTTCCAGGGAATTCCACAGCGTCCTGTCCTGAACAAACATCCATGATCCTCTGCTTCCTCGCCTCCTGCTCCCCAACATCAACAGACGCACGGCTCCTTCCCCTCTCCTCATCCTCCTCCCTCGTTTCCACCTCCTGCTCTCGTTTGTCCTCCTGTCTTAGTTCTTCTCCTCTCTTCTTCTCAGGGGTGAGTTTTGTAGTGAAAGCGGCGGTGGGGGCGGTGACAGAAGAACTGGCCTGGGCTCTGGCGGTGGAGGGGGAGAGGGACGGGCCTGCAGTAGTCCGAGGACCAGATTGAGCATCAGGGGACCCGTGTTTCGGGTCCTGCAGCGGATAGAGGCTGAAGCCGCCGACGTCGTCCCAGTACACGATGATCAGCAGGATCATGAACAAAGACCCCAGAACGAACGCCACTCGTAGACCCCGCCATATGCCCATGATTATATCAAATCCAGCGCCGTGATTGGTGAAGAAAAGAGGAAGAGGTTATCTCAGCTCCATGGTGGCTGGCTATCACGGAATGAGACACTTCCTGCTTATCAGCTGCAACTGAGGGAGACAGGAAGTGTTAAAAAACAGTCCCCTTCCTCTTTTACAGCCCGAGTCAGGGGAATGAAGAGTAACTCATGTTCCAGACGTGAATACTGAGCTTTAAAAAACACAGAGGCTTCCAGATCTATTCTGAGAGATCTCTTCCTCTACAATACTTACATTCACAAATTCTTAATCCAGTGCAAGAGTTTAAAATACGAGTGGCGTTCTTTTGTTTACTTTGAAAATAAAGATTTTACATATGAGCTGCATGGCTACATATGAAACTACTCATCAGTAGTTACAGTTCTTTAGTTACTTGGCTTCACCAAAAGT